TCCTTCCTTTCCGGTCCATTAGGGGAAAGGAAGTCAATATGCCAAGAGTACATTTTTGAGGAAGTTAGTGATTTAGAACTTAAGCTATTCTTAGTGGTTTATAACATAAGCATGCCATTGTATCTGCCAGACTATGTATTTTCTTATAAAGATAAAATAAACTATTTGAACATATCAGCTAAGAAATGACTGAAAAAAACCTGGCTAGAAAGACACTTAATGAAAAAAAAATTAATGAACTCTAGCAAGACCTTTGCTTGATACAATGTGTGTTTCCGTGTATTTGAATTAGTATTATCTATCATACCAGCTTGAATACTTTGTGTGCATTGTGTAAGTTTGTATAAATGTAAGATGGGGATCCTGGCATGGTAAACAGGCTTAGAAGTTCTGCCGGAAAGATAAGTAGAGAGTCATCATTTTCAACACAAATGATGGAGTTTTCCAAAATAAGTCTTAAAATGTTCCATTTCTAACTAGAAGGAATACTTAGCAGACTAGGCTTTCCTCCTGTCTACTAAGCAGATCCTTTCGCCACATGGATCCTTCTAGAAGATTACCGCAAATGTACAGAAGAGTGGCGTGTTATTTAACGGAGCGGTGAGCTGTCTGCACGCACATGGGTGAGCATGCTGAAGGTCAGTTGGGCAGAGAAGAAGCACTGCTGAGACGCCGTGGGCTCCATTTCTCGAGGTTGGAGCTGTCTGTCACAGTGGACAGCTTGTTGGCATTCTAAAGCTCTCGAGGGATTACTGCTGCTTTTTTCTGTTGGGTGTTTTGATTTTCATGACAGGATTAAAGGGAGCTATGAGACGTCAGGTCTTTAATTGCACACACTGTATTCCTCCTCATCTCCAACACTGGTGTCTCGGGTAACATCAGGGAATAAAAATGGAATCCTAGAGTGACTCATGATGGTGTCACATGAAGATAAAAGCATTCTCATTCTATTTTTAAATAGACACATACATACCTATGCATACACACACACGTGAACACACACACACATATACTACATATACATGTGTGGTGAAAGGAACTACTTAGGAGAGAGGAGAGATAGCCTAGTCTTCTAAGAATTCCTTCTCACTGGGCAGTGGTGGTGCACGCCTTTAATCCCAGCACTTGGGAGGCAGAGGCAGGCGGATTTCTGAGTTCGAGGCCAGCCTGGTCTACAGAGTGAGTTCCAGGACAGCCAGGGCTACACAGAGAAACCCTGTCTTGCAAAACAAAAACAAAACAAAGCAAAAAAAAAATTCCTTCTAGCTAGAAATGGAGAAATTTAAGACTTATTTTGGAAAATTTTATTGTTTGTATTGAAAATAATGACGCTCTACTTATCTTTCCAGCAGAACTTCTAAGCGTGTTTACAGTGCCACAATCCCCATCATATATTTATACAATCTTGTAATATATATGTGTGTGTGTGTAACACTAGGGGCATATCTTGTTTTATAAGTGTTACTTTCTCATTAATTAATTGGTTAGTTAATTGATCAATGTTTTAAGACTGGGTCTCCTTTCTTTATAGCCACAGACTGGCCTTAACTCCTCAAGTGCTGGGATTACAGACCTGGCTGTAAACCTTTATTACCGTACTGCCAGGACCCATGTTCATTTAGGGTTTGGGTATGTTTTCATGTGCGTTTTGTGGACAGTTCTTTTGGCTGGTTTCAGAAGGTTTCTTCATCTTGTGTTGACAGTGTCTTCGTGGTTAAACTAACAGAAAGGTGCCTTCATTAAAACAGTAGTGTCTCACATCAGGACAAAAGGACGAACTAAGCGCTTAGCTGAACTGGTCTCAGGTAAGATAACGGGGAGATTTCAAACATGGAAGAACACTTTTTCATTGTTCAATTAGTTCATGGGCTGGCTTGCCCAATGGAGATTGGGGGTTATACAACAACTATTACTGATTATTAAATCTTTCTGATTTGGGTACTTCATTCAGATTCTGTGTGTGTGTGTGTGTGTGTGTGCACACGCGCACTCATGTGTATATGCGCTCATGTGCACACATACCACAGCATGCATGTGGAGGTCAGAGGACAGTCTAGAGTGCTGGTCTTACCACTTCATGAGACTGTCCCTCACAGCTGTGTACACCGGCCTAGCTGGCTCTAGAGCTGCCCGAGATTCTTCTGTTTCCTATTTTGCCACGGGCACATTGGGATTATAGGTGTGCATTCTGTGTCTGTCTTTATGTGTCTTTGGGAGCGGGAAATCCTTCTGCTTGCATGGTAAGTGCTTTACCTACTTCTGATCCGTCACCCCAGTCCTCCTTTCCATTGGGATTAGGGAGGTAATAGGCTTGGAGCGGCTAGCTGCCTTCTTGAGGAGGAGAGGCTTGGGAGAGAGGCTCAGAACAGGAAGGGAAAGATTAGACAACCCAGAACCCCTCACATTCCCCGAAGCCATAGAGTCAGGCTAATTTTTAGGTCCGTTGGTTTGAGTTTGCTTTTCTGTCTCAGGTGACTAGAAACATTAAGTGCTACAACCACAGGAAGCATCAGCAGTCACTGTGCACAAAGGTGGTTCTGTGAAGGCCTCATCTGTAGCCTGTGATCCCACAGGGAAGTTCTCTGGAGTGTGAAGTTTCCCTTCAGTGTCCCTCACTCCTGCAGAAAAGTCAGAGCAGGTGAGCGGTTGTCTAGTGGTTTCTTTGATTAGTCGGTTCTAGCAGAGTTCAGCTGGACCTCTCAGGGTCCTGCGTCCATTGTCCCTCCTCCCACCCTTCCACGCTCGCTTCCGTTGGCTCATCCCTGTGGCCCTCCCCACCAGGCAGATAAGTCAGCCATTTTGATGAAAGGCCTTCTCTTTGACAACTGATAAATTTTTTTCTGCAGTTTTAAGTATTATATCTTCTGCTTTTTTCTCGTTTGTTTTATTTTCTGTCCCTACAGTTGACTTGATATGAAAGAGAATTTAGATTTATTTAGTCATTCTGTGCCTCAGTCTGGAATCCACAAATCAAAGGCCTGACTGATAATAGTGATAGTATTCTGTAACCATGTCTACAGTATTTTATGGTTATAAGCTCATTTATTATTCCCCAGCATCTGTTGGAAGAGGCATTGTCTTTCAAAGGATCTTGTCGACTGTCTAGTTTCCAAATTTAGGAATAGGAAGAATAATTTAATTCTGTTTGAGGAACACAGGAGTTGGCAAAATTATAACCAGGGCAAATACGTGGATCAAACAAAATTCTTGCATCCCCTTCAATAATCTTAACCACTATGCAGATGTCAGGGGCAGCCCTGCTTATACACTGAAGGCCTAAAATCAGCAATAGGCCTAAGTCAGCTTGCTAACACAGTCTTGTGTCTCTGTGAAAAAACACTGAAACAGATAGCTATAAGACATTGTAAACAGGCAGCTTTGGTGGAAATTTACCAGCCTGGATGAGAACAAGTAGTCAAAGGTCTTGTGGATAGTCATAGACTTTGAGTAGCCTTGGTGGACAGTACCAACTCAGATAAGGACAAGTGATTCATAGGCGGAGTCATAGTGACATATCCCCTGAACCTTCACCCAGCCGATACCCTGTTCTGAAAGATGTCTGTACTCCCCCTGAACACCCACACTCCGGTGTCATCTCCTTCCCCACATCCTGCCTTTTTGTGTATATAACCCCTGTGTGAAAAAGTAAAAATTACGGTTTGATCAGACAATAGACAAATCGTCATTCTTTGTGTCTGTCTGTGTTCCCCCACTCTCTTTCAGGTGACCTTCCTGGACCCCTGTTTAATGCCCTCCTGGAAGGGGCATGCAGAAACAACTAAGTGGGCATTAGGACGGGCACAGAGTGTCGGGCAGATTCCCAGACTCTGGCTCTGGTTCTGGTGCCGGCTCCTTTACTCCCTGTGACAGGGCTTCAGATACATTGTGTTCTTCCATGGAGGGACAAAGCATATTTAATTATCTAAAAGCATTCTCACAGAGAAACCTGTTATTGATTTTGGAAACTCAGAGGCTTGCTAGGTGGCTGTGTCGTTCTGTGGCTGAGAAGGAACTGGGTTTGCTGAGGAAGGCCAGCAGCGGGCAACTGCCTTCCTCAAGACTGAGTGATAGACTGGGGGAAGGAGGAAGGCACTGGCCTGGAAGGATGGAAGACTCCAGCCTTGGAAACAAGGCTGTGTTATTGTGGGCAACCTTCTGTAAGGAGGGCACCTATATCACTCTCCTGTCCCTGACTCTCTCTCGTTGTTTACCACAACTCCCAAAATGCCACTTCTGGTATTTTTGCTTTGGGTTTTAAAGGGCTCATGGCTCCAGAGGCCCTTTTGGAACAAGAGTGCACACAAACCATTGCTAATGAGGATTTGGAGATGTCAGAGCAGAAGCTTTACAGGCAGAGGATGGAGGCTAGATATCTGCACATGCGCAGTCCCGGGGCCAGGACACGGCTGGAGCAGGGGAGGGTACACTAGCTTCAAAAATCGTGAGACCTGTATAAGGTAAAGCCGGCCTGGATTGCAGCACGGATGGCCCGGGTCGGGGTGGAGTGGTGGTTGCTTCTAAGGCCCCACCCCTTACTGTTGAGCCGTGAGAGGGAGAATCATCCTTTATTGAGGATGTAGTCCCTGATGTGTTTGCCATATTCTAGAACACATATCGGCAGCATTAATTAGACTTGGAAGAGGAGAAGGAAGAAAGAAAAAACAATGAAGTTGGAAGGCGGATGTTTTGGGGAAGTTGAGGGTGAATATAGATTATATTTCATTGTATATACGTATGGAACTCAGCTTAGAGATAGCCTCGGAAACAACCATGTCTGTACCACGTGGGTGTGTAAACCCGATGATCTGAGTGATCCCGGGACTCTGTATAGACATGGACCAAGAGAGCTGACCCTTCACAGCTGCTCTCTGACCTCCACATGTGCCACGTGACACATGCCTATCACACACACACACACACACACACACACACACACACACACACAGAGTACATTTTTAAAGTTCTCCAAAATATCAAAGGGTTTTTAAAACCATGCTCACCCCATTTGGATTGTTGAGCCCAGGAAGGAGGGTATGCAGTAATCGGCAGCTGCCAGTGTGTATGGCGGCCGGGCAGCAGAGTCGTCCCAGTAAATGTCTTTCTTCATCTTGGGTAAGCTCATGTGCATTTCATCCACAGCCAGAAGAGAGACCTGGAATCAGTGTTAGAACAGCTTAGGTGGGAGGAGCTTCAAGCCGGATGGGAGGTGGGGAACAGGGCGGGGTCTGAGAGAAATCAGGAAAGCCCAAAGACAGACTCGCTGCATCCGGGTCTCTGTGGGAAGGGGTGTACGTGTTCTTTCCTGTCTAAGAACGCCGGCACCAGTGTAAGTGAGCTGTGGGACTGTGTACCCCCTGCTCACCCTCTGTCCACATGCCCCAGTGTGGAGCTTTGTGTCATCTGCAAGGTTCCTTTCTCATGGCTTTTTTTTTTTCTTCCAGATACAGTGCCATCTTGGCGGCTCCCTGACAGCCACCATTCAACGCCCGGGCAGTACAGAGATGAACATTCTCAGTCCTTCCTTCTGCGATCCCACACACCACCTCTACCTTCTTCCGCTTCCTGTATGCCCTAACTTCAGCCCCCACCCCCTTCCTCTCTTTCTTTGAAACAGGGTCTCAGCCTGTATCTCCAGCTACTTTTGAACATGCAATTCTCCTTTCTCATCCTACCTAGTCCTGAGGTCACAGGCATATGCCACTAGGCCTGGCTACATCTGTGTGTGTCAACAGACCTGTGCCGCGGTAACTGCCTCTCTGCCTTGGCTTAGACAAAGTGACAGATAAACTATTAAGCCTCTGGGAATCTAGTTTTGACGGAGAGGGAAATATTATGCTTCCTCCCTGACAGACTGGCAGGGCTTCAAACAGACCAATGGGTGAAGCCTTCAGACACAGGTTCTGAAGGGAGCCCTCCCAAGAAAGAGAATCCCCTCCTGCCTTCGTGAGCGGCTAGGGTGGGGTAAGGAGCTCCATTCACGACTGGATGTGTGAGAAAGAAGCCCGTGCAGCTTAGGCCCCCTCCTTGCATGTCTGATTACTGGGAGCTGGTGGGTTGTGCTCAGGAATGGACATAGATTATGTCCGGATACCAGTCTATGCCACTGCCGATCTCTCCAGAGGACAAAGAAGGCAAGAGGATGAATTAAAACCGGGCTCTGTACCGGATGGGAGAGGGCAGATTATACAGACCACTCCTCACAGGGAAAGGCAACTTAACTTCGACAGAGATGAGATCCGGAACATTGCAGGTTCCCAAAAGGCTCAATGCAGTGTTTGGCTGAGCTCTCGAGCGAGAGTGTGGGAACCTGCATCCAGACTCGGTGTACACGTGATTTACGGTTATGGTTCACAAAGGACAGAAGAGTTCCTCTAACCTGCAGGTTTCTGTCAATGCACCAGTTTGTTTCAAAGTCATCGTCATCTTCCCCGAAAGGGTTGATCAGCTGCTCGGCAACCTGCAGTTGAGAACACAGGGTGATTGAGAGCAGCGCGTGTGAAGACGGAGAAGGAGCTTGAAGTTCACCCCTGCCGTAGTTGATTGTTCACAGTCAGTTTTAAAATATGCAGCCTACGGGGTAGTGGGCTATTCTATAGATGTTTACCAGCAAGTGAGCCCCTTCATAGGCCCTGCTCTGCTTATCTAGATGGTGCTGCCCTACTCCAGGGATGCCAGGGGTTCTGTGGAGCCAAAGCGAACCAGTGAATACCTCAGGGCCATTAGCTACATGCGAGGCACTGACGTTGTCTGAACTTTCAAGCGTCTGTAAAAGCCCAGTGGATAACCGTGTGGTGAAACAGCATCAAAAGACAAATTAAAAGCAATAAAAAGACAGTATCTGTTGTAAGACATAACTGTTAAGTGACTACACCTGAAGGCTAGAGGCAAGCTGGAACTGGAGGCTCCTCTGGTGTCACACAGAAGATTTAACCTTAGCTAATAAGTTAGTTCTCCTTCTGGGAGAACATCTAGTTGGTTTCTGGTTAGATATATCATCTAATATTTGGTCAATATTAAATATTCTTACCACGTTCCTGAATGGAATGGCCTTTTAAACACGGGCCTTAGCTGTCCAATATAACCTTTTTGAACAATTTTCTTTGATTTTTTTTTTACTTGCGTGCGTGCTTGTGTGTGCATGTGCGTATGCTTATGCTTCATTAATTTCTAGATTCTGAGACCATGTGGTAGAAACTCTATCCTCTTGGGATTAGAGAGGTGACTCAGTAGTAAGAGTGCTTAAGCTGCAAACCCAGGATCCTGAGTTCAAACCCCCGGCACCCATGTAAAAAGCCAGGCTTGGCTGGGCATACTTGTAACACCAGAATGCAGGGATGAAGACGGGTGTATTCTGAGAGTCCTCTGGCCAGCCAATTTAGTGAAATGGTAAGCTGCCCATGGAGTGAAAAACCCTGTTTTCAAGGCAATAGGCAGAGAGAAAGAAGTTGGGGGAGGGCCGGGCGGTGGTGGCCCATGCCTTTAATCCCAGCACTTGGGAGGCAGAGGCAGGCGGATTTCTGAGTTCAAGGCTAGCCTGGTCTACAGAGTGAGTTCCCGGACAGCCAAGGCTACAAAGAGAAACCCTGTCTCGAAAAAAACCAAAAAAAAAAAAAAAAAAAAAAAAAGAAGTGGGGGGAGAGGCAGACACTCATCCTTGTACTCTGGCCTCTACATACTTTAAGAAGGATACACACTCACATGCATGTACCACACTACACACACACAGAGTTTAAAAAAAATTAAGAAATATTACCCTCTTGACTTTTAGGATTTAGGCTAAAACACCTCGCTGTATTCCTATCCTCCACTGTACATGGGAATCTCTCCCTGAAGTTCAACGGAACAAAAATAAGCAAGCAAAACAAAACACGCTCCCAGCAAACCAGATGCCTGGCTCCCTTCCCCAGATACTCCGATTTACTCAGAGTGAGGGCAGACCCAGGCAATAGCACTGAAGTAAGCTCCCAGAAACTGTCAGAGCATGGGCAAGGTGGAGAAGCAGAGAGTTACAGCAGACACCTCGTGGAAGGAGGAAGTCTCGGAGGAGCTGTGCCGGTCCTTCACTGTGTTGTGAGGGCTGTCTTTCTCTTCTTGCTCAAGGTTTTGCTTAAACTAAATGGGCCACTATCCCAGCCCTAAAAATATTTCTGCTATGTCCCTGTTTCTCACACTCATAGCATCAGTCTTGTATATGTTATTGCAGACTATATTTCATAGTCAAAATGACATCTCTGTGCACTAAGCTATGTCATGAGGATTACTTTCCTGGGGGGGCCACATTCTCGGTAGGAGAGATCAAGATGTGTTTCCTACACTTTGGAGAGAGCAGTTCTTTGGAAACGGAGGCAGTGGGAATTGTACTTTTATCACACTGGCTTATCTTGAACACAGCCCCGTTTGTGTGTTTTTAAAAATGGGTTTTAGAGAAAAGGAATTTAGACGTCTTCGCCAGAAAAAAAGGAGCCACTAATCTCTTTGTGGTTCAGCTGAGCACTTAGCACGGACACAGGCAGACAATAAAGAAGCTCGGCACAGTGACAAAGGACAAAACCGAACAATGGGCCAGGGTGTTAGCTTGGGTGAGCACCTGGGTCAGCCGTGGCGACTGTGTTGAAAGGGGTAAGGCTCACTTTTCTGTCTAACAGAACCCTTCTCTCTTGCTCTTTCTCGCTCTGAGGAAGTGAGTAAAAATGATTATGAATCCCTGCCATCTGGTTAAAAACATTGTTGTCATTTGAAAGGACATGCTGTTTGTCATTGGAGTGTGATTTAAAATGCCAATGTACTTACGAAGAACCAAGCCAATGTAAGAAGCACTACTTGCAGGAGTCTGTCCCAACCCAAAGGCCTGACCACATGTGACTGTTTGCAAGGCCAAGTATTTGGACATTTTGTTTCCTTAGTCTCCCTGAAAGTATTACTAGGTGGTGTTGTACTTAAGGAAACTGTTGCCTTTGGCTTTTTTTTTTTTTTCTGTCACATACTGAGTGAGGGAGCATCAGGCTTCTGATATTTACAGACTTACATCTGGGGAGGGGCGGGGGTGGTGGGGACAGACACGGTTCCACAGCGGTGACTGGACAAGCTCCCCTTCACTGCTCTGACACGCTTTTAGATTTCAGGCAAGGAAATGTCATCGTTAATCCTGGTGTTTCTCTGCTCTTAATCCAGATGAGCTTTTTTGAAAATGGAATGCGTTTCCCGGGTGTGACAGCTAATGGAACTCAGGGGGCTGCGGATAATTTACAGAGTGGAGCAGAACTCGGCATCCATCATAGCGTTAACGCCCAGGTCTGCTCTCAGAGGCTTGGTGCTCTCATGCCCTCTGCCCGATGTGCCTAGAGACCAACACCGGTGCAGTTAGTACTTTAATTACATTACTGAAATCCTAGTGGGAGCACACAGAGACGTGGAGAAAAATCCATAGCGGTAAGAGGAATGTTCTTCTCGTCTCTTTGCATAATGAACTGCCTCAGACCGCTACAGTCCAGCCTCTCCACTCGGCCGTTTTAATCTTGATGGAAAAGCACTCACTGTCTTTGAGCTAGCATGCCTTCAGTCTACCCTTGAGTTATTCACTCTTTGCCAAAGACTCGGTAGAGGATGTGTGTGGAGAGTCTGGGGCGGGGGGGGGGGGTGATTTGCAGAGTGTCTGGGACACGGAGATTGTTGACTACCTTGAGCCATCCAGCGTAGAAGAAGAACTGGAGGAGCGTGAAGATGGGGATGTACAGATCCAGGTCATGCCCCGCATAGCCTTTGGTGGGATCCAGGAACTGGCGTCCGATCAGGCACGCAAAGAAGAACGTGTAGACGGCGAGGGTGACGACCTGGTACAGAGAGAAGGCGGGGTGAGACCGCAGTGCTTCCATCAATGGGAACTTTGGTGCAAAGCGTCCAGGTGGGAGGGGAAAAAAACCCTCATGCATGGGGCTGGGACTACGGCTCAGTCAATAAAGTGCTTGCAGCACGGGCGTGCAGACCTAAGTCCAGGCACCCGCGTTAAATGCCAGGAACGGTGCTGGCCAAAGGGCGGACATAGAGATCCTGGTCCTCATGGGCCAGCAAGTTTAAATGAAAATGTCAAGTTCTAGGTCTCAGAGATCTTATCTCAAGACATAAAGAGGATGGCTCCTGAGGAGTGCCGCCCAAGACTGACCTCGGGTTCCTAGTCGCCCGTCCCCCCTGTCACGTGCACTGTATTCGATACCTGTGTGTAAACCAGTGGGATGCCGACCCAGTCGTAACCGAATAAGAGGCTGCACCAAGAGCGGTACCGATTCATTTCCTAAGTCCAAAACAGATAAAAAACAAAACAAAAAAACTCACACTTTACTCAAATGACAACCATGGTAATGAACATTAGCTGGGATTCAGAACAACCCCCAACACACACACACACACACACACACACACACACACACTGCTGATGATCAATTCTGAGACCTGCTTTGTGACACTGGTAAGCCACACCCCCTACCCCTAACACCCACACACACACACACACACACACACTCCCAGTCTGCTGTGAATGGAAAGTTCTGAGAATGAGAAGCTGAAGGATACCAAGGAACAAAAACAAAAGAAAAAAAAATAAACTGATGAGGACATATACACATACTTTTATAAATATTAAGAGAAGATGGAATGTTATAGGGTAAGCCCGTTTTCCTAACCTGGAATCCTCAATGTATAGCCCAGCCCTGGGTGCTCATGGGAAACGAAGAACCTTAATGTTTTAAATAAGTGATTAATGGTTATTTTGGTAGAAAAGAGTTGGCAAGCATCTTTTTTTCACTCCTTAAAAACATTCTTGCTATAGATATTGGGAAAGACATAGAAATACATGCTAAACCCTCTGCCCAACAATCTGGGACTTTAAAAATGCCCGTATTGACAGAAAATCTATCTGTAGCAGGAAGGCTGGAGGGTCATTGATTCCTTTCCTCATTCATGTGAGACTGGAATCTAATATTACCTCAGCATGAAAACTGTTTAGTGACTTTAGTCTCATCGGTGCCCGGGACCATCGGAGCTGTCACACTGGATTATCCAGCCCCTGCATAAATCTCTCCGATGACCCCTGATCTCCTTTATTGAGCAAGACATTGTTCCCTGGAGCAAATAAAAGGTTGATTTAAGTTTAGACTATTCAAATTTGGGCAGGGGATGGGGTGGAGTTGAGGTTTATTTTTCCTTGGGATTTTACTCTGGGTGGTGGGGGTTCAGCTCAGAGGAAGACTGTTTGTCTAGTATGCAAAAGGCCCTCTGGGTTTCATCCCATCACTGAAAAGAAAAAGAAAGAAAAAAAAAAGATTTCATTCTAGAATTCATAAACAAGGACTAGCAAATGCCTGTGGGCAACTCGTCTCTTCAGAGTCTTTGGCGATGCTGACTTAACACTTTCCCATAAGCCTCTTTAAGAGTGTGCTGTGCAGACAGCAAGCACTTCCAAAGAACCTGAGGGAGTGCCGCTCCTTCATGTCCAGCACACTGTGAGGTTCATGATGGCTTCCTGGCTCCTTGGAATCTGAAGAAAACAGAGCAGACTTTTTGGTCTGACCTGTTACACCCAGGGCCCCCTTGAGCTCTGACTAGCACCCTTTCCTCCTGGCTCACGGACACTTACAGTCATCAGGGATTGTAGATCGACACTGTCTCTGATTCTGCCTTCATTCCGGGCTTTGGTTGCAAGATTTCCAAACCAAATGAATGGAACCCAGTACTTCAGATGAGGTGATTTGAGGTGGTCAAATAATTTCCTCTCATCTGCCGTCATAAAACCTTCACACAAAATAATGAATGGAGATAATACACACACGTAGTTAAGCACTGGTGCGTTACCATATTTTTACATATTCCATGCACGCATACTCGGCTACGGGAGGGTGCTAAAGAAGCAAAGACTCTTGTCTCGGTGGTTTATATTTGTGTTAGAGATGAGTTTTGCACACGAGTGTATGTGTGTGCATGTGCTCACACGAGGTGCACACACACACACTGATATGTGTGAAGCAATGCAGCATCTTGGTGATCTGATAGGGAAGGTAAAAAAGACACGTGAGCGTGGGACACAGGGTCTTAAAATGTGAGGCGCAGCCCCAGAGGGGGTCGTGTAGCCGAATGTGGGTTGCAACTATTTGGTAACAGATTTCTGAACCTACGATGGCCAAAGATCACTTTAAAATCAAGCACACCACGAATCTGAGGTGTTGTGTGGTGACAAGCTATGCTCAGGGCAGAGTGTTCGTGATGTGTGTTCAGAACCAAGGCCGGGGTGAGTCCGTTAACGCCACAGGTGTAGCTCTTTGATGTTCTACATACTTCATGTTGCCATATGTCTAAGTTTTCATAAACGTTTCTCCCACAAAAGAGGGTTGGCGGCTGGAAAGAGTTTAAGAGCCCTGATCTAGAATATCTAGAAAGCTTTCGTTTATATATTTAGAACAGTAATACTTAGAATTGTTCGGGTTAATTATTAGGTGCCTCTTCCTGTCTCCTGCCAACCTCCTGCTTGATCATGTCTCCTTCTGGGAAGCCTTCTCTTATTCCTTAGTCCTCCCTCCCAGGGACTTCTACAATCTAAAGCTTCCGTCTTACGTTCCGTCTTGACTTGTAGTCGAGTGATATCGTACATAACGAAATGCAAAGACTACCTTGCTCTTTCTAGTCCCCACTCTACTTTGCACACATTCCCGAAATGCGAGTACATAAAACACGGTTAGCTTGAGTTTGCAGGGACCTCCCTGAGCCCCGGGGGTTTCCTCTGGAATAATGTCGGTACTACAAGGATGGTACTGGGGATACGGCTTGGTGGTAAGCGCTTGCCTATCATGTTGGAAGCCAGCACTGCACATCAGAGAGGCACACAAGGGAGGGGTGTGTTACCCGAGATGCTAAATGTACGTGAATGTTTAGTGCTAAGGAATAAAGTATCAGTGGCACTTTCTCTGGGTTCCTCCTTTACTCTCTCTCCCCATACAAGGGAAGAAGAGGATCAAAAATGGCAGGTTTATTTAATAAAGAAATATTGAAAGATGATTTATTATTATTAAATCATCATCATTTTGCTTTTTCAAGACAGGATCTCTTTATGTAGCCTTGGCTGTCCTGGAACTCACTATGTAACCATGCTGGCCTTGAACTCACAGAGATCTGCCTGCCTCTACCTGAGGAGTGCTGGGATTAAAGATCTGAGCCACGACCACTGGGCTGTTTTTAATTATGTGTGTGTGCATGTGTGCAGGTGCCCTTAGAAGCCAGAGGCATTAGGTTGAGACCTGAGAACTGAACTCAGGACCTCTGCAAGAGCAGCGTGTGCTCTTAACTGCTGAGCCATCTCTAGTGCGATTTTCTTAATGTCTACTTGTAAAGAAGTGTATTTTAAGAGTTTTATGCTTGGCTTTTATCCTCTTAAAAAAAATGGCTAACTAGTGCAAACAGTACAAATATTCAAAAATGCCAAATGAACATTTTTTCTCTCCTACAGAAAATCACTCTCATCGGTTTATTGTGTAACTTTACAGAAAAATCTCATGGATTTTTGTACACACCTGTTTGTTAAATACACATTGTTTTTATTTATATACATATTTATAATTTACCTCTATTTTATACTCATATACTAGAGATTTAAAAATCAGTGACTGCTCTCCACTAACATTAACTGATAGTTGTTTACAATGTTTCAATTAATTCCATTTTGAATAGACACCGAAGCTGCTTCTGACTTTTAACCACAGTGGCCTTCTTTACTGTGGTTCTAGGGACTGAACCCAGAGGCCTTCTGCATGCCAGGCGAGTGCTCTACCTCTTGAGCTAAATGCTCAGCCTTGGTTCTAATGTTTTGTTTTTGAAAACTATCCTACCATGACTCCTTGCTCCCACCCGTTTAACTCTTTGAGTGGCTTCTAAATGTTTTGACTTAGTGTAAATTATATTTTCTAAATGAAATATTATCTATACAACTAATTTTATTAGATATTAATTATAGGGTACTTTTTGTTTTTTGTTTTGTTTTTTGTTTTTGGGTTGTTTGTTTGTTTTCTCTGCATTGTAGTCATTTGCCAGTGAAATGGGATGAGCTGCTGCTGAGGTAAAAACCAACTTGGCCTTTACATCTTGGTCTATAGTTTGCTTACAGATTTGTTTTGCCTGTTATTCCTCTTTATCATGTAAAATTTAAGAGGTAATATTATAATAGAAAAATATGCCAAAGAAGAGGTAAGACACACTATTTGAGAGTAATTAATTCCTCAGGCAGTGGGGCTCCCTAGGTCTCCTAGGTCTGGTATGACTCAGGCCAACTGGGACCTCAAGAGTGAGGTCCCAGACAGAAGACCTTGCTCTCAGAATCCGCTCCTGATGCTTACTTAGCAAGGTTGGGTAGGGCTGGCCCCACCTGCAGGCAGGAGCTCCCAAGTTGGGTCTGCTGCTAATGTCCCTTGGATACATTTAGAAGTGCTACCACCTTGTCCCTAGACTTTCTTTGTTCTGTAACCAATGACATTTTCATTCTTATGTGAAAAACGTGTTTTGGGGCAACCCGAGAATCCATGTTCCAAGGCCATTACCACTCATGTTCGGCTCAAGAATAAACTGGCTCTCATGTTTTTGTTTTTGTTTTGTTTTTAAGAAAACAACAGTCAGTAGATGAACTTGGGTTTTCTTCACTTTTGGCAGAAAGGCTTGCCACAGCTCTGCCTCCTTTAGCTGGAAGCCTAGCTTGGCTATTCCATACAGATTGCCTAACACTTAGAATGCAATTCTCAAAAAAAAAAAAAAAAAAAAATTCCACTTATATGCTGGCTGCAATTTCTGTAATTTTGCCGAAGAACAATCTTGTGTCTGGTTATTTTCATTCATTCATTCATTCATTCATTCATTCATTCATTCATTCATTCAGGAGTGTAGATCAAGTTGTGTTAGCAAGTCCTCTCTTGGCGTCTAAGAGGAGAGCAAATACGCAGTGCAAGGGTTTGTTTAGTGCCAGGGCTGGAGCTGGGTCCTGCTCTCTGGGAAGGATATTTATTGATTAGAGGAGTCACATAGAGGGAAGGAAGCTGGCGATTTTCAAGTTTTCAGTCCAAAGTTATATAATCTATTAGGGGGAGAAGAGAGGCAGCAGAACTGAGTGCATCGTCCAGGAGTATACAGTCAGAATGACGCCAGCATTCCCACTGGCTTAAACATCTAAAGTAACCCTACTCTGTAAATCAAGTTGATGGTCAACCGAAAGAAAATCTCTAGAATGGGGGTCAAACCCATCGAGGGGGCATTAGTGATGGAGAGAAATTATCTCCGTCAGCATCTCACGTCACTATACCCAGATACCAAGGCTTTAAAATTGAAAACTGTTTCATTATCCTCATCTCTAAGACAAATTAATTACAGTTATTGATTAACTGAAGCTTGGCTGGTCTGCCACCACCCTGTGGCCGCATGCCTCTCTCCATCAGGCCCTACCTGTGGTTTGGCAGGCTACTGCATATGCCCAGAATGTCTTTTTTTCTTCTAGCTGGCTCAGCTCTGCCCAGTGATTTGTGTGTGTGTGTGTGTGTGTGTGTGTGTGTGTGTGTGTGATATTGGGAAAACAGCTTTCTTTACTATGTCTAATCAGGATAAGGTATCCACATACCTACCCTTAGAGACGGGTGCTGTACTGACTTACAACTTAAGTTGTAGTTCTAAGAGTGGGATTTGCTACTGAAAGGCAAATTTGTCATGTCCCTCAGCCGAAGGACTAATTAAATCGATTGTCATCACAGATCGGTCTGCTGTGTAGTTGGCCTGGGTTCCCTCGGCTTGAAGCAGAGGCAGGTGTCTTTGGCCTTCTGGAGAGACTGTTAGCAGAATGACCACTGATCCCCGGCTCCAAGCTCAAAGACGGAATGAGTTTGACACCATTTCTTCCTCTAAGAGAAAACAGTGCCGTCAGTGCCTGAGCCTCCTTGGGGACAGCTTTTTCAAGGAGAGCTCAATATTCCTGGCTCATTTCCAAGTGCATACAAACAACAGAGCCCCTGTCAACAGAAGGTATTCATAAGCTGCAAATGGAGACCAGGGGACAGAGGCATATCACAGCACGTCACGAGCCACTGGGAGACTTATGTGCTTCAAAAAGTAGCCAGGGGAAGCAAGCCAGTAAGTAACATCTCTCCATGGGCTCTGCATCAGCTCCTGCTTCCTGACCTGGAGGTGGTGGTACTGGTGAAGAGAATTTTCCCTTTGTATCCTTATATGGCCCAAAGTATCTATAACTGTCCATTTCTCCATCCCGAAGTAGGTATTCTATTTGGCAGGTCACTGCACTCTCTGCAATGACACACACACACACACACAAGAAATGACATAACTCCACTAGTGCTTTCAGCTCCTTGTCTAAGCGGATACCCCTGAATCTCCATTTACCTTCATGGACAGAGATCTGAGCCAATTTGCAACTGGAAGAATTATGTACCATTTCCTCAGGCTTGCTGAATGTTAAGCTGGTACTGAATAATGCCTGAGAGTGGGAGCTGGGCGCCAGGAATGTTTTTAATTTTTAAAATGTTATTATATGTATGCGTGCAAGCTTGCACATGCCACTGTGTACGTGTGGGGGTCAGAGGAGACTTGTGAGAGCTATTTCCTTTCTGACTACGTGAGTCCGAGGGATCAAATCCGGGCCATCGGCTTTGGCTGCATGCGTCTTTACCCACTGAGCCATCTATCTGACCTCAGAACTCAGTAGTTCTTCAGTGATCAAACGGTCTGAAGGCTGGGCGCTTCAGTGCTCTGGAAGC